TTCATGTTGAAGAAGGAAGTACAGAGCATAGCCGCACCGAAGGATATGGATCCTCTCTCTCAATCATTTAATGCATACGTAAATGATTTGTTTAAATATAGCAAATGGTGAAAGTTATTGTGGGACTCTCGGTAGTAAAAAAGGAAGTTATTGTGGGACTAAACTGTACAACGTAATTAATTAATGAGTGTACTTGTAGTTATAATTATTAGATATTACTTTAATTATAAATAATGAATTTATTAGTGTGAACGTAGGCGTACAGCGTACGCCAGGTGTACGCTAGCCTTTGCCATATATATATATATATATATATATATATATATATATATATGGGTCAGACTCGTATGCTCCTGACGCATAGCATGTGACAGGTTCTCTAAACCGTTGATCTAATCTAACGATCATTATTAATTGCAATAAAATTAATCATTAATTAACAATGATAACTACTAACTTCACCCATTAAAATTACATACACGCATTATAGTACCCGACAATTTTTATCATTGTGTTTCATATTAAAGTACCTTATTTCTTTTAAACATAGTTTAATCACCTAAACTTTTTATTATTGATTATGATATCTCCATCTAAGTTGGTCTCATCTGTTCCTCAATTAAAATAAATTATAAACGAAAGTAAGGCTCATCTCAAGCAAGAGTCTCTTATGCAGAGACATCAAATTGAACCATCCTGAGTTCATTCAATCGGCTAGGAACATTTATAGGTTCCAATCAACCAATCTGCGATGATCACCATCGTCAAATCAAATCTCTTTATTTTTGTTTCGAGCACAATGGCCACAGTGTCAGATGGATTTGCCTTCCCAATCTGCTGGGGTTATTTGCTACCGGCAGGAAATGGCTAGCGCCCACTCCCAGCCGCCGGAGAGATGGAGCGCCCGGAGAAAGAGAGGGAAATCTTTCACAATATATCGTCAGTCCGCTGGTTAAATTTTGCCCGATTTCGTCTTGGAACCAATTCCAACCCTTGGGTTATGTATTTGAATAGAGTCTCAGCAGATTTGGAAGGCCCAGCAAACACAAACTTGCTCTTCGTCCTCGGGGTCAGGAATGGACTGATCATCTTGTTGTCCTGGAGGATGCTAATGGCTTGATTGGTAGCTTTCCGGAGCTCGCCCTTGAGAGACACGGGGAATTCTTCATATCGTTGATCTGAACGATGGTGCAGATTCCGGTGTTGCTGAAATCGAGCTTCCGGATGCTGTTCTCGAGGAATTGGATATCGGAGACCCACATCGAAGCGAAATCCCCTTCCTCCCTGCAAGCTTATGAACAATTGATGAATCAATCCTCTTCCCTCACCAGTCAAACACATTAAACCCTACCGCCGCCACGATAGAATTCTACCCTAATTAAATGATCCTTACCAACTGATCAACGCCCTCTCCGCCGAAGCTAGGGTGCCCCGGCTACGTACAGCCTCAGCAGCAAATTCACAGCCTCTGCTGGCGTTGATGGAGATCAGCTCCAATTCATCCGTGTCCCCCGGAATCCCAAACTCCAAGCCGGAGCATTCAATCAGCGTGTGTTTATCGGCATCCTTGAGAATGAAGCCGCAATGAATTTAAGGGTAGTAATTGGGTTTGCTTTGATGATGACGATGATGATGACAATGAAGTTTTGATTCATTAACCATTCAAGCCAAATTTTAATGGAAAATTTTATATCAATTTTGAAAATTTTGGGTGTTGAATAACATAACTCTACGAGATTAGGTATCATACGAGAAAATATTTTGGTAATTATTGTTAGAGGACTTCATAGCACATATAATTATTTAAGGGGTGCAAGTAGTAATTATTATTATTAATTTCATCATAATTTATAATGACCGTTAGATTGGATCCACAGTGGAAAGGTCTGGAGCATGGTATGCGTCAGGAGCATACGAGTCGTATCCATATGTATGGGTCAGACTCGTATGCTCCAGACGCATAGCATGCTCCAGATTCTCTACACCGTTGATATAATCTAACGACATCTATTAATTCTAATTAAATTATTTCTATTTTACTATTTAAAGATAATTAAATGGTTCCATTATTTTCTTATACGTGCTATTTAGTTCTTGAACATATTTTCTCATATCTTTATGTATCATACCTAATTTTTTACAATCATAACTTAATCCCCAATTTGGCATTGTCTCTAGATTTGTATTTTGTTTCTTCGCACAAACAAGGGTGTCGACTGTCAAGCCAACTCCAAATCACCCTTTCATGTTTCCCCTTCATCTAGGTCGGTGAACCTTCTCATCCCCCTTGACAGTCACCAAATCTATCCCTAGCAGTCTCAAATCCTCGATCACTGGATTTTTACGCATCCTATCCCTCTCCTGGAATAATTTTCAGTTCATCTCTCATCCTCGCCTCCACATTATTCTCGACTATCTTCGTCGAGAAGTTCTCCCTCTACAGAAACTCAAGGTATGTCTCCCGCTCCGGCTGCTGCGTCTCCTTCTCTTATGCCCCCTCGTGTCCAGGAGAAGGCAATTCAGTGCGATTCCTCAATTTGATTCCATCTAGAACCCTATGTATAGTTTAACCAAAATTGGACATGTGGATATCTAGGAATAGTCCAAACGAAAATGGAATCAAGCTGCGAAACAACACTATTCCCAGATCAATTCACAAAAAATTATTTCACAGAAGATGGCTAAATAAATCCCCAATTCGATAATAGACATCGTTCCTAGATCTACCGAAAATGCAGAGAGGAGAGCAGCATAGTGAACCGAAGAAACAAATTATCTCACCACAATAAGTGGGCCTCTGCTTTAGATGTTGTTTGGATCGGAGATGAGAACTCCAGGTGATTTCTTGACCCTCCGCCACCGACTTCCAATTTCTTGTATAAGGGACGACGACGATGATGGCGTATTGAACTTTAGGCTTCAGATTTATTTACTCCATTATACAAAACATGATGATTATTTATTGTTGGGGATTGTAGTGGACGTATAATAATTTATGGGGTGTAATTAGTAATTGTAATTATTAATAAAAAAATAATTAATTATAAATAATAATAGCCATTAGATTAGATCAACGGTGGAAAGACATGGAGCGTGCTATGCGTTTGGAGCACACGAGTCGTATCCATATATCTATATATATATATATATATATATATATATGGTGCCTTCTACGGTACCCCGGGTGAAATTCGGGGTACCGCATACCTTGACTATGGAAACGGTATCTAGACCTCGAATAAGTAGGATTTTTGGGTCTGATACTATACCCTAACCCTTAATGAGTGAACCCTAGGTCCTAATTATCTAAATCATAATCTATAAACCCTAAGATGGTGCATTCCTCTTTTTGCCTATATTTGGACGAATCATAACCGTCGATTATTGTTTCTAATCAAATTGATCTTGGAGTATAAGATTGGGAGAATTAAGACCTAGATTTTGATCTTTAAGGGTTAGAGTATAGTATCATGCCCGAAAGATCGGTCAATTCAAGGACTAGATAGTGTTTTCATACTCAAGGTATGCGGTACCCCGGATTTTACCCAGGGTACCGTAGAACTATATGGGAGTTCTACTATACCCAGAGTAAAATCCTGTTAATTCGAGATCTAGATAGTGTATTCATACTCAATGTATGTGGTACCCCAGATTTCACTCAGGGTACCGTAGAAGGCACTATATATATATATATATATATATATGATGGTGTCGGTGCACCCACTTTTTTGGGTGCACTCAGTGCACCCACCTCATAATTGTCATTCTGAGCATGTGATTCATGTCAAAACGGTATCAATTCGAAATTTATGTTAATTCAAACGATTTAGGAATTTAGGGTTAGGGTTTAGGTTTATAATTTGGGATTTTGGGTTGGGATTCAAAATTGGAGGTTAAGGGGTTAGGGTAATAGATTGATTTGTTATGATTCTATGTCATGTCATCATATTAGATTGAGAGTACTAGATAGATTGAAGGCACCATATATGGTGAGTTCTACGGTACCCAGGGTGAAATCCGGGGTACCACATACCTTGAGTATGAAAACGCTATCTAGACCTTGAATTGATTGATCTTTTGGACATGATGTTATACTCTAACCCTTAAAGATCAAAATCTAGGTCTTAGTTCTCTAAATCCTATATCCCAAGATCAATTTAATTAGAAACAAGAATTGATGGCTATTATTCGTCCAAATATAGGCAAAAAGATGAATGCTTCATCTTAGGGTTTATAGTTTATGATTTAGATAATTAGGACCTAGGGTTCACTCATTAAGGGTTAGGGTATAGTATCAAGCCCAAAAATTCTGCTAATTCGAGTTCTAGATAGTGTTTTCATACTCAAGGTATACGGTACCCTGAATTTCACCCGGGTACCATAGAAGCCACCATATATATATATATATATATATATGGTGGCTACTTCGGTGCACTCACTTTTTTGGGTGCACTCAGTGCACCCATTTCTAAAAGTGTTCATAATACATCAAATTTTGAACTTTAATTAGTACTCTCAATCTAACATGATGATATGACATAGAATCATAACAAATCAATCTATTACCCTAACCCCTTAACCTTCAATTTTGAATCCTAATGCAAAATCTCAAACTGTAAACCTAAACCTTAACCCTAAACCCCTAAATACTAAATCCTTCAAATTAAAGTAAATCTTAAATGATTTTTTTTTAAATTCATGGGCTTATTGTTCATAATATCATAAGCAACAATTGATACCATTTTTACATGAATCGCATGCTCAGAATGATGATTATGAGGTGGGTGCGCTGAGTGTACCCAAATAAGTGGGTGCACTGAATACGCCACCATATATATATATATATATATATATATAATTATATAAATTATCATAGAGTTAAACTCGAGCTGAACTCTTAATCTTAATTATAAGTGAAATAGTTTAAAAAAATGAGCCGACTTGAGTTCGGCTAAACTCAACTCGTTTATAAATAAGTTAAATTCGCGTTCAGCTTGTTTATTAACGATACAAATCAAAACAAAACTGAACTGAACTTGGTTTAGTTGGACTCGACTAGTAGAGACCAGAGACTAGAGAGGCCGGCCTTGGGCTATAGCATCTGCGGCTACAACTACAGCTACAGCTACAGCTACACCCACACATGACCCAACCAACAGAAGACGGGGAAAGAAAACAAACTTCCCCCTCCCTCTCTCCTGAGTCCTGACTGAGAGACGGAGCAGTCACTTTCAAAGCTCCCACCAAAACTATTTGCCTTTACTTCCCTACTTTATATGTGAAAAAAGGGCGGGGAATAGAGGAAACCCACTAGTTACTCGTAATAATTGGGTTCCATGGGGTAAAATTTGGATGTTGAAGGGTTTCATATGTGGTTTTTTTTCTCTCTTTTCCTTTTACCCCTTTACAAATTTCAGAGCTGATTAGATAATAATAATGAAATGGTGTAGCCAAAAACCCCCCTGGGTGAAATTTTGCTCCCTCAATTGAACAGTGAGGAAAGAGAGGCAGAGAGAAAATGAGATAGAGTGGAAGAGCACTAACAACTAATCAGCAGTAGCCAGTAAGGCCATGAAAAGAAGAGTCCCCACTAAACCCCTTTGATTCCAGCTGTGAGTCTTCTTCTTCTTCTTCTTCTTCTTCTGATTATTTCTTCCACCCTCTTACTCAAAGTTGCAAACTTGATGCTCCTCTTTCGGGTACCACAGAGCTATGAATTAGAGATCTATAGATAAAAACAAAGCCAATCCAATTCTTACCTCATTCAATGATTCCCTTTTGCCTGCAGGTTTGTTTTAACTTTTTCTTCTCTCTTCCTTTCAGTTCAACAACTACTGGGGTTATGAATGATTCCCTCCATTCTTTTGCTTCTTGGGCCATCATTGATTTCTTTCCCCCCCCCCAAACCCCTCTCTTTTCCCGTTTCACCTGCTCCCCGTTTCAGAAAGTGACGTGCTTGTTTTGATGGCAGCTGAATTGAACAAGAGAGAAATGGAGGAGGTCCGGAGGAGAAGGACCACTACATTTGGCTTTCTTGACTCAAGTCTTACAACCCAGTACGGCTGATTTCTTTTTGATTCTTCCAACTTCCTTTCTTTTTCAGTTTCTTCTGAAAGCAGGCATCTTGAGGAATCTTTTTCTATGACATGATGGGCTTCTTTGTAGTAAACTCCAGACGTGGGTGGATTGAAAATGCCTGTAGATTGCAAGCTGTCTATCTTTAGGACCTCTTTACCTGCCAATTGGAAGATGGGGAAGCAGAATGAGTCGTCTTTTCATGGGTTGCATTCTGAGTGGAAGAGCTGGAGAAAGCTTCTCGTTCTGCTGTGTATATTGGGTGGTTTGGCTGTTGGGAGCATTAGGTTTCCGCTGAACTTCGATGGGAAAGACAGGGTTTCAGATTCTTGTGAAGGAGAATTAGTTCGTCACTTCAATGTTTCCAAGAGCCAGCTCCATGCACTAGCTTCCCTGTACTCTGACTCGGAGAAGGTAATGTTATGGGCTAAACTCTCTATCTTTTGCTAAAAATAGTTCTAATCATGGCCATTGATAACGATTTGCAGTTTCTTCCTCGGGAAGTTGAAAGGACAGTAATCAGGCTATGATTTTCTTTGAGTTTTGACTCGTTGCTTGATGCTGCAGATAGCTTCACTTGAATGTACCAAGGAACTGGGACCTGGACCTTCAACAACCGATCGAATTTCTTGTGCGATGAAGTTGATGTGCTCGAAGAAGCAGGAGTTGATGGATGAGGATGAGACTGCTCTTCAGAACTCAATTTCAGATGCATCTTCGGCATTGGTTTCAATGCTTGTAGATGTAAGTGTAGGTTCCAAGTAAGACTGATAAATCAAAATTTTTTCTTTCTATGGCTTCAATGTTACAGATGCTGCAGAAGTTGGTATTTTTTGTTGGGTTCCTAAGCTCGGTATCTGTATGGTAGAGAAGTGGAAAATTTGGGTTACTAACTAGATGCCCCTAAACCCCGTGATTTTCAGTTTCATTCTTTATTTGGCACGCAGGAAATACATTAGGGTTTTCTGGTTTGAATCTATGCTCATCCTTATGCCACTTTTGCTCATTTGGGTTTTACAGAACACTTTGCAAACAAGCGCCACTGTTGTATATGCTTATGCTTCTGGTATGATGGAAAGATGTTGGTGGATGCAAGCTAGCAAAGAATTCCCCTCTGTTGTATATGGTTATGTTTTTGGTACAATGAAAAGATGTTGGTGGATCCTAGCTGGCGTGGGCTGCCTGTGCCTTAGTGTCAATCTGATACCTCTCACCACTTGGTGGAAGAAGCAGTTTCTTACGGTGTTTTTTTGTGGTGGTATTGCATTGTCATTTTATACCTTCTGGAGTGGGTCTCGGGAGTTTCACTCAAGGAGAGAAGAGACCCTCGCTAGCATGTGTGACGAGAGAGCACGAATGCTGCAGGACCAGTTCAATGTGAGCATGAACCATGTTCATGCCTTGGCCATTCTTGTATCTACCTTCCACCATGGCAAAAATCCTTCAGCTATTGATCAGGTATATATATTCTAGACTCCATACTTCTAATGGCACCACTTGATTTCTTATGATCCAAATACATTATTTCATTTTCAGAAAACATTTGGTGAGTACGCTGAGAGAACATCTTTTGAGAGGCCACTCACTAGTGGGGTTGCATATGCTTTAAAAGTTGTTCATTCGGAGAGGGAGCAGTTTGAGAAACAGCACGGTTGGAGGATAAAGAAAATGGAATCGGATGACCAGGCGCTGGTTCAGGATTGCATCCCAGAGAAGCTTGATCCTGCACCCGTTCAAGACGAATATGCACCTGTCATATTTTCTCAAGAATCTGTGGCACATATTGTCTCCATTGATATGATGTCAGGAAAGGTATATGTCTCGGAATCCTTTTCAGATGGCGTCACTTTCATTATGAGCTCCTTTAATCTGGTTGTTTCTTCCTTCTTACATAGGAAGACCGTGAGAACATATTGCGAGCAAGAGCATCTGGGAAGGGAGTGCTTACATCTCCTTTTAAGCTCTTGAAATCAAATAACTTGGGAGTTGTACTGACATTTGCTGTATATAATGTTCCTCTTTCTCCACATGCCACGTCGGAGCAACGAATTGAAGCTACTGTGGGGTAATCTGTTTGAAGAATCAGTTATTTGATGTTTTATCTTTACTGTTTCTTCCTGGTCAATGTGGAACTAACTTGTATGCTGTGACCCACTTTGTTATGAAGGTACCTTGGGGCTTCTTATGATGTACCATCTCTGGTGGAGAAGCTCCTGCACCAACTTGCGAGCAGGCAGACAATTGTTGTAAATGTTTATGACACGACTAATGCGTCTGCTCCCATTCTTATGTATGGCACTGATGTTGCTGAAGACATGAGTCTATTCCGAGCAAGCAACCTTGACTTTGGGGACCCAATGAGGAAGCATGAAATGCACTGCAGGTTAGTGGGAAGCATGAAATGCACTGCAAGGCATGGTTGCCCATAAGTCATCTCCACAAATCTTAATTTTATTTCGTTCTGTTGCTGCCGGTTTCTGCAGGTTCAAGCAAAAACCTCCCGAGCCTACGTCAGCAATTGATTCGTCGACCGTAATCCTTGCTATTGTTCTACTTGTTTCATATATATGTAATGCAGCCATAAATAAGATTGAAAAGGTTGAGGAGGAATTTCGTGAGATGACACAACTCAAAGTTCGTGCAGAAGCTGCTGATGTGGCAAAATCTCAGGTTTATTTCCTTGTTTTAGGAATGACAATATAAAATTCTTTTAATGATTCTTAGTGCCTACAATTGAGGAATCCTGTCCTTTTATTCCTGCAGTTCCTTGCAACCGTTTCACATGAAATCAGGACTCCGATGAATGGTGTTTTAGGCATGTTGCAAATGCTGATGGATACCGAGCTTAATGACAAGCAAATTGACTATGCTGAGACTGCCCATCGTAGTGGGACAGAACTGATCTCTTTGATCAATGAGGTCCTTGATCATGCTAAGATAGAATCAGGGAGGCTAGAGTTGGAAGCTGTTCCTTTTGAACTGAGACCTGTTCTTGACAATGTTTTCTCTCTTTTCTCTGGAAAATCCAGTGAAAAGGGAATTGAGGTAATCCAAGGAACCCCCTTTTCATTGTTATGCATTTTCGTCTTACATCGTTGATTATGACTTACATTTGGGTTTTCCTTTTGCTTGAGAGAAGTTGGCCATTTATGTCTCTGATCAAGTGCCTCAAGTGGTCATAGGCGATCCTGGAAGGTTCAGGCAGATCATTACTAATCTTGTTGGCAATTCAGTCAAGGTCAGTATTGACCAAATTCCTTAACACAATTAGATCATTTTTTTATTCAGACATTTGCTAAACCAACTACTGTTTGCTTGCTTTTGTTCAGTTTACACATGACAAGGGGCACATCTTTGTGTCAGTCCATCTTGCTGATGAAGTAACGATAAGCCCAGTTGAGGTTCAAGATCCAGTTCTGAAACTCAGTTTCGGCTTAGCTCAAGACACCTCAAGCAAGCCATACAACACACTAAGTGGCTCTCTTGTGGTCAACAGATGGAAAAGTTGGGAACATTTCAAAATATTGGATAGAGTGGATATCGGAGACTCATCAACGATTAGATTGCTAGTTACAGTTGAGGATACAGGTGTTGGTATTCCAGTAGATGCACAAAGCCGCATTTTCACTCCTTTCATGCAAGCTGACAGCTCGACATCACGAATGTATGGTGGGACTGGAATAGGATTGAGTATTAGCAAGCGTTTGGTTGATCTCATGGGAGGCGAGATTGGTTTTGTTAGTGAATGTGATGTTGGAAGCACTTTTTCCTTCACTGTTTGTCTCAGAAAAGGGGAGTTGAGTTCCCTTGATGCTAAGGGGCAACATTGTGATGCAACTCCTGTGGAGTTTAGAGGCTCAAAAGCTTTGGTGATCGATCAAAAATGCATACGAGCTGAGGTCACTCGATATCATCTTGAGAGGCTGGGAATATCAGTGCACATTGCTTCAACTTTGAAAGCTGCATGCTGTTTTCTGTCTGGTGGTGTTACATCAGGTGCAAGGTACATCTACTTTTCTGAAGGCATCTGACATTGGACCAGGCTATTCATTTATCAAATGATAAATTTGCATCTATCCCCATGAATTTAGTCGCCTTTCCTCTTCTTGGTCTCGAATCTGATAAATTCCCCCTAGGAATATAATTTCTTTTCTAGTTTAGCCATTGGTGTTTATTGTAGGTTGAATTCATGGACCGTCAGCTTTTGCTGGGTCTGTGACCACTGTGGCACTGAGTCACAATCATCTGCCACATCCAATGTATCCAAAGTCAAAAAATACCCGTCATATAGATTGATTTTTCTTTCCAAACTACCTGAAAATGGAATTATATTTCGGTTTTCTATTTGTCCTCTTTTCTTATGTGGTGTTTATTGTTTCTATCAGTGCTCCAGTCGGTCTATCCATGATCCTGATCGACAAAGATGTTTGGGATGAAGAAAAGGATGTTTCGGTGCATCGCTTTTTGAGGGACCCAAGTGGAAATGGAATTGTAGAGTTTGAAGCAGACCTTCCCAAAATCATTCTCTTGGCTACTGCAATAGCTCCTGATGAACGCCATGAGCTAAAATTAGCTGGCTTGATAGATGATGTGCTTATGAAGCCTCTTAGGCTAGGCGGTTTAATGGTTTGCTTGCAAGAAGCCCTAGGAAGTGGTAAGAAGAGTCGAGTCAGAAGAAAGAAACCGACGAATCTTCAGAATCTGCTGAGGGGGAAGCATATCTTGGTGGTGGATGACAATGTTGTAAACAGGAGGGTAGCACAGGGTGCTCTAGAGAGGTATGGAGCTATAGTCACCTGTGTTTGCAGTGGGAGAGCTGCGGTAGAGTTGCTTGAACCACCACACAAATTTGATGCTTGCTTCATGGACCGCCATATGCCCGAAATGGACGGGTAAAAATCATAATCCACTCTGTTAGCTTAAGTTCGTACATAAATCAATTTTTAACTTGTTAGGCTGATTTTTCTTTTCGTACTTTATGCAGATTTGAAGCTACAAGGCATATTCGAGCTAGGGAGACTCAGATCAATGAGCAACTCGCATCTGGTGAAGTGTCAATCGAGAAGTATGGAAATAAGCCATGTTGGCATACACCAATAATGGCGATAACGGCTGATGTGATTCAGGCAACAAGTGAGGAGTGTAGGAAGTGCGGGATGGATGATTTTGTTGCAAAGCCATTTAAAGAGGAACAATTGTACAATGCAGTGGCCCGTTTCTTCGAGTCTAGTGGCCAGAGTGGTTGACTGCAGTGCCTGTGGTGTCTATCCGTATCAACTAACTCGGCTAATCCATTTCGTTGGAATGGCAACCCAAAGTCATTTTGATCAATTAATGGATGAGAGGTCCCCAACGCCATAGGCTATTGATCAGAGGTAAGGCTACTTATAGAATTGTCATCCCAAAATCGAATCAATCTCTCCCAGTGCTTCTGCAGTGTGTTGTTCAGCCATACCGCTAAACCAGTAATATTGTGCGTCTTCACAGCTTCTGCCTTAGCCTGCAATCACAACGCTTGATCGGTTTGTCTTCTGCAAAGTTCAATCCGAAGTCCAGTGGATGAACCATCTGTGTAGTTGTAGCCTAGAACATGGGCTGTTTGACATCCTAACTTGTGTCTCATCCTGCCTTGCCTTTCTGAGAAGTACATAATGAAACAGGAAAACCAGTTTCATCGGAGCTCCATATTGAGAAAAGAAGTACGGAAGTGTTAACTTTAGAATTGATATATCATAGTGCTCTTGCGGTCAGTGTAGTTTGTACGTATGCTATAAGCACATCCATCTTGTATATTGCAACTCTTCTGTGTATGTGAATTGTACCTAAATCCTCATCTCTACATAGTATACAAGTTTGGTTAGATTTCAGTTTAATAGAGAACTGCCTTTCCCGGCTTTACAGATCAATGTGGGATGTTTTGTAATATTCATTGTGTGAATGAAGGGAACTTTTGGACGAGAGAGTGAAAAGGAGACAAGGAAGAGAACTTTCAGTAGATCGCTGCAGGATTGATGGAGGTTCCCTGGAGATGGGACCCACATAGCCGATTTCATCAGCTTATTTGGATCTGCTTTCATCTAGATCGCACCTCATCCCCTGCATGCTTGCATGTGCCACTGTTCAGTAGTGTTCACATATAACTCCACCCTTGCATTTTATTTGTGTGTCTACCCCATCACCTTTTGTTGTTTCTATATATAAAGAAAGCAAGGAAACAAAGCTTCGGCCTTTCTGCCCTCAACCTCAAGATGGCATCTTTCAACAAGAGGCTGCTGGTTGCCATACTGTTGCTTCTTATCTCATTAGCCATTCAGATATCAGGTAGGTTGCTCACTACTTGTTTCAATTTTCAGCCAAACCTCAAATGGGTAATTTTCTTACAAGTTGGAAGTGCTAAAAAGCTTGTTTCTTTTTGGGGTTAGATGGGGAGATGGAGCAATGGTGTGTAGCAGATGAACAAACACCAGACAATGAGCTGCAGGCAGCCACTGATTGGGCTTGTGGGAAAGGGGGTGCAGATTGCAGTAAGATTCAGTTGAACCAGGCTTGCTTTTGGCCCAACACAACCAAGGACCATGCCTCTTATGCCTTCAACAGCTACTTCCAGAAGTTCAAGAACAGTGGTGGATCTTGTTATTTCAATGGAGCCGCCATTGTCACTGACCTTGATCCAAGTAAGTCCTGTTACAAGGAATTTAATCTTTCTGGTTTTGTTGCTTCTTTTGGCAGAAGAGTATCAGCTAAACTTATGTGTGCGATCAGAAATGCAGTAGAGGGATAGTCCAATGTGATGAGAGAAGTAGGTCAGCCATCTCAACAACGTGAGATGAGACAGGAAGTCATCACCTAGAACCGAAAACTTTGGCTTTACGCTAACAGTCAGATTTGTGTTATTCAATTCAATTCTCTTCTCAGAATTTGATCTTCGATGCGTTGATTTAGGTTGAGATGATAGAATCATAGATCTGACATTTGGATCATAGATATGCAGTAAATTCTACTTGAGTCAGACCATACCATACTGACTTTTTGTTTACTGCAGGTTATAACTCTTGCCAGTACGAGTTCATTCCGTAATCCAACGCCAAGCAGACGGAGGGGTAATTCTTTTGCTCCATTCTTTATGTCTACCCAGACGAAGAAATTTGATCATGACGTTATAGATTCAAATTTTTCAGTAATGAATTTTCTGTTGGTCGCCTTTTCCCCTCGTTTGAGGCTTCACTTATCGCAGTTCTTCTAGTTAAAGCACCAATTATCGCTACAGTAGATTTCTTTTTCAAACGTGCTTTTGATGAATTACAAAACGGACTGTCAAAATTGATCTCTCTTTACCGTAAAAAGGAAGCACAACACATATAAGTCGTTATGACAGGGAGAAAAGAAGAAAAAAAATAGGCAGAAAAAATGAAGAACACAAGGGTCAATTATGCAACCAGTAAGCTAGAGAAATCCAACAAGACAACCATATTTATCCACCTGCATTGGTTTCACCATACAAACAATCAAGAACATCCTGGAGTTCCTCATGCATTACATCAACAAGGACAGAAAGAAAAACATCCCCATCTCCTCCATATAGCACATATATATCGGTTGGTTATCTGTCAAGGTGATGGCATATGCGTTTTGCTCAAATCCAGCTTTACATAAACGTTGCCAGTAACTTGGAAGACAAGTTCTGAGTCGATCTGAAGCAGCCACTTCCATCAGAAAAGCAAGCTCGCCCAAGCAGCAATGAATGCAAAGCCACCAAATGGAGCTACCTTTCCATACGATCGGTCCTCCAAGTATGCAACGGTATAACACCTGGAGACAGAATAACACCAAATTTTTTTATAAGCTTAGCGTCATTAAAACATGTTAAGTTGATAGGGCATGTTCTCTAAGAAGAAAGCAAGTCATGAACATTACTAGATCATCATAAACTGTGTTTGAAGAAGATACTCCGAAGTCTAAAAGAGGATCGAGAGATTGAAAAATGGAGGCAGTCAATCAAATAATAGCATCATTAATGACCAACTGCAGAGCACATAATGGTACAGATTTGCAAGCAACTTAACAAGCTCAACTGAGATCCATACCAGCTGTTCCAGATTAATGACAAATACTTTACTAATTAAAGAAGATGCTTATAAGTCTCTAGCTGTTAACAGTGTATCAGCAATCAAATAATCAGAATCTTTAGTGAATAGATGCAAGTAAATTATCCTGTGGTTCTGCAAGGAACTTAGCCAGCTCAACTGATCCGTACCAGCTGATACAGTTTCTTGAAGAAACTTCAATAACTAAAGAGAACGATGCAGTTTAAAGGATTTCGCATTTAACTTAGCTGAAAATTAACGAACTAAGCACTTAGGAACTTAACACCAGAGTGGCTTTATCAGAACAACATCACAGTTCCCTTGAAGCAAAGATTCTCATCAATGGAGAAGAAGAACTGCTACTTACGTTCCGGAAAATGCAAGAATTCCAGTAGTTAATAGTCCTCCAAACTGAAAGGAGATATCAAATGTTATCAAGAAGCAATATTTTACCAGTTGGTATGAATCAAACGGATATTACTGGGGAAAAACAGCAGCATATTCCCAAATCCAAAACTACTGAGGAACTTACCAAGTTGGGATATTTGGTCATAGGAGCTGCTACAAGGGCAGCAGTATGAACTAAATGATACAATGAAGCTGTCCTCCACACCTAAATTCACAAATCGAATCACCATTACCAGAAGTCCGAAATTTCAGTTCTTCCCCGCCAGAAAGAAAAACGCTGGATTCTTCATAATCGAGTCAAAGATTAGAATAATGGAGCGACAAGGAGAAGAAGAAGTAGTAGAAGAAGAAGAGATACCTCGTTGTAAGCAGGGTTTTTAGGTTTAAAGGCATGGGCGCCATAAGTGCCCATTGCGAGGGCACCTACCCCTGAAATTACGATCCCCCAAAATCAAGACCTTGAACTGAAATTATGAGCTCAACCCATTGACGGAAATGGAGATGAAAGAGAAAGGTAAGTACCAGAAACGCCAGCTACTTTGTGCCACATAAGAGGGTTCATTTTCATTCCAATTCTTCTTCTCCGAGCCTGGGGAGGGGGACTTCAAATTTCAATCTTGGAAGCGTTCTTCCGCAGTCTGTTGCCTCAGCCTGCCTTTTCAAAAGGGAAATTTTCCAGAAATACCCCATTAAAAAACAATTTCAAAAATACCACTTATTTTCGAAAAATTTCAAAAATACCACTCTTTTTCATAAACCATCACCCCACCTCGCGGTTTACACGAAAATCGTTGGGGGGCGCGGTTTTTGTTCTTGCCAGCTAAAAACTGCATCGGGTCGGGGCAGTTTGATTGACCGCGGGGGGTAGCTGCGGCCGACCCCCCTGCGATTTGTGTATAGTTTTTCCGCTTAATGTCTAATGTAACACCTTAGGCGAATTCCACATCGACAAAGCACAAGAGAGGTATATGGTTCATAATTAAGAAACTGGTCTTAACTGACAAGACACGTTTTGGGGTGAAATGGAGGAGTTCTTGTGAGAATTCTGAAGTTAAACATGCTCAGTGTGGAGTACAACAAGGATGTGTGACCTTATGGGAAGTCACCTTGAATTGCACCACAAGCCGAAAACCGTAAGGATGGAGGGCTAAAGTGGACAGTATTACGCCAGGAAAAGGTTCAGGATGTTACACCTAATCTACTCTGAAATTCCAAAAGAACATAACTTTGCGATATCTCGAAAAGTTATGCGGAATCAAAAAAATTGTTACGATTGGATACCCAAGCACAAAGTTACGTTCGTTTGAAGTTTCGGCCTAAGTTAGCCATTGATTGGAAAAAATAAATTCATGCAAACCATTGGGTGGGGGTGATTTTCACCTTAACCGCGCTTCCCCCGCGGTTTATCAGAACGCCCCGACACCATGTAACTGCGGGATGGGGTGGCGGTTTATGGGAAAGAGTGGTGTTTTTTGAATTTTTCGAAAATGGGTGGTATGTTTATAAATATTTTATGGTATAGTAGGAAAACTAGCATGGGCCCCGGCCAGTTGACCGGAGGAAGGTGAGGTATGAAATTTGATAATGTAATGGGATGCATAGCTTATTGTTGTATAGTTTTTTTTGGGAAACACGTGATAAAAATAGTGAGTTTTAGCAGGAAAGAGACATGAATGATGCAACGAATAAAAAATCGGCCTTATGAACCAAAATCAAGTACCTGTTACCTTGTGAAACAATATTGTTTCTGGTAATATGATGAGGTGGAGTAAGTTTTATAGAAACCGAATTCCAGAAAATCGAATAAAAAATCGCATATCCGGTCGTTTTCGGGAAATGAGCATCTCACAATCGTTGCTAGCTTTTACTCGGCACGTTGGCCGATTAATTTGCTTTATAAAACTTTCATCTTTTCGTCATGGTGCTTCCTGGTTTTTGTCAGGCCATATAAAAATCTAAGGAAATCAAGAACGAACAACACGTTTGGGATAGGAACCACCGTTGTCGTATCCCTAGAAAATTGTGGTAAACACGGACTCACCTACCAAACTGGTTTGGATTGAGATTTTTATCGGGTATCAGGGAACCATGTGATAATAAATTAGACTTGATCAAAACAGGCCAAAACTTAAAATTCAGCTTGTTTGACCGACCCATGCCAAATTCTAATTATCCTTTACTTTTAAACTTTCTATTTGAAAATAAAAAATAGTAAAGAAAAGAGATGACTGCAATTCGCCATTTGCACATCACTTATTCGGGAATAAAACCATAGAAATTCAAAAGGAACTGAAAATGTTTAAGATGGTTTTAATGTTTAAAATAACCAAATATATATTTCTGTTTAGTTTTTTACTAACAAAAATACCAAATGATTCCCTATCAAATACACCATAATTTGATCACTATGATATCAAATAATTATATAATATATATTTAAAATGATAAAAATTGGACTAATTGGGTTGGTCGAGATGGAACCATTGAATAACTTTAAAATACATTATATTTTTAGCCACTAAGATATAAAATAATAGCATAATATATATTATGCCAGAGAAAATAGCTTGTTTTAGAATGTCAAACCAATGATGTTCATTTGTTTTACTTGATGGCCAAATCCCGTGTAGGTCAAGCCCATTCAACTCTTTTATTTTAAGGTTAGCGGTTAGCCCATTAGATACCATGCATTAGTTTATTGTTAAATTTTTTATTTTTAGCAATAAAAAAAGTATTATTTTTGTCTTTTCATATACATTTTATCACCGTAGACAAGAATTCTTTTCTCTTTTTGTTAGCTTGAAACCTATAAAATAGGTATATGATAATCATATCCAACCCACAGATCAAGCTCGTCAGACCAACGTTTGGGTGGGGGTCTACCTACGCATGATTGGTGAATGAACAGTCCGATTATAATGCTCACAACATCATTTGTTAGAACGTGCTCACCAGACGTACAATTGGCAGACATGATTTGGGCTTTTCGCAAGCGTTGGATGAATGCATTGACATTTTGTGAACACTTTAATTAAATTCAGTGAATGACACATGAGAGCTTCTCCTAGGTTAACAACATCAAATCGTCCCTATCCGATTGAACTAATTGGTGATAATATTTTATTTGAAATCGAACTCCATGATGATTGAATAGATGTGGTGTTGATTACTCGTGAAGGGATGTCAAATTGAACACCATGAGATAGATGATTGAGTAGTGGAGGCGTCCACCCAATAGGGATTGAACCAATATTTTCAATGGATAAATGATTCCTACGAGGGAGGGTACGAACTTGAAAGATAAGAATATAAAGTTTGGTTTCTTATAACGTAATTGAAGGGTATTGATTCAGACTTTCCGAAGCTTAAACTAGAAGTTCAAGATAACGACTTTATTCCCTCTGAAGTTCTGGTTTTGTGAAGTTTAATTATTTGAAGTTCTGGTTTTTTCCTACTAAATATCTCCATCCCTGAAAATTTAAATTCCATCAAATTTTAATTAGTATGCTTGAGATTTTTTTTTGTGACTAAATATAATGTATCATCAGATATATATAATTTGCCCAGTTTCATCAAATATATAATTTTTTGTGACTAATTTTTTTTGGAGCGAGGATATACATACAATGAATGATGCTTGTTAATGTCAATGTTTCACATGTTCTCGCACTATGAGAGACAATGCGCTACACATTCATTGTTTGTACCACTCAGAATGGAGAGAATGCTACACATAACACATACAATGCACCACACATAAATCGATACACACAAATACATAGTTGCACAAAACTCTCTATCAGCTAACAAATTCATCATTTAGAATGATTCGAATCTAAAAATTTCTCACATGCCCTCTGTATATTCATATAAATCCGAAAATTGAGAGTTTCTTCCCAACTTCGTAATTGCTCTCTCCGATCACATCTTGTTGAATTCATCTCCACATTCTTCTTCATGTTCACCGTCGTCGGCTCGTCAATGGATTTCAGTGAGTCTAACATGTTCTTCTTTTTATTCCTTTATCAATTATTAGTCGGCGATTCGTCCGAGTTAATAATCGTAACCGGCCATCATCATTTTCGTGCTCTCCTTTATCGTCTACACCACCGAAGAAGTCTCGTGAAGATACATCAATCTTTAATATATGTTTTTTGTGGAGAATTCGGATATCACTTATGGAAATACTTTGCACCATACAACACATACACACTCTTACAATCAACATAGCAAATTATGTGCATGCATGTGCATAAAAAGAGTCGAATACAATGCATATATATGTATGCTATTCGATACTGATCTCATTCTCATCAGTACATGTGCATACATGGACAAACAACTACTCATCCATCCTTTGGGAAGGATCGTGGAAAAATCGGGTGTGTTCAACTTGCTTGTGATAAATAATTAAAAGCGTGGCCAAATGGAGATCCATTGCAAACTGTTCTCCGAGCCTGACTTTCTTATTGTGTTCCCAGTCCCACTAATAAAGGGTTTCAACATCGACCATCAACTTTGAATTATATTACCCTATACTTTGATGGAGATTTGAGATTGACATTGTCACATTTGACAACACTGCCGCCTTATATACCACTTGACAATATGTTAACCAAATCACTAATTCACTAGTATAGGATTTATTTGCGGATTATATTTTAATGATTTATGTTTTGTGAAATAATGACTTCCGACGTTACCAGGACCGGTCTTGAGATTATGGAGGGGTGCCTGTTCTATAAATAAAACTAGATTTGGGCCCGACCGATGGTCGGATTCATTTGATCACTAACATAAACAATCTTTTAATTGTGCACAATACAATTTTATTTGACATCATAAAAAATACAAAATATTTAATTATCATGCTTTGATTCATCGATGAAAGTCCTTATCGAAAGTTGGAAAAAAGACATATGCACGGGACCCGATGTCTAAAAACATTAGCAAACAACACTTCGATTTACTCCTCATTATAATTACTGTAAAATATTTGGACTTCTTTGAGATTGCTCCGCCAATAGCAGCATCTTCATATCCACTAATAACAGTGTCTTCGTCTCCATCACTGAGACCTCTACCTTTGCCATCACATAGTTTCTTCTTTATTCTCAACAACACCATTATCTGATTTTGGAAAAGGAATATTTAATTTATTATTTTGATGTTGCTAATTATTCTCGCAAATAAGTTATCAATTATCTCAAACCTCTCAAACACTGAACACAATCATCTATGTTGTTCCAGCCACTCCATTGATCGTCTTCAAAGACATTGTTGCGCTTTGCTTGGAAGTTTTGATGGATATCTCGGTGTCAAAGAAGCAGCAAGTATGAGCTCTCATAAAGAAGGATGATGCAACTACTTTTTGGTGGTAGCATCAATTGGAAACTTTTCATTCATATTATGCATTGAGCGCCTTTTGTCATAGTGAGTTCATTGTGAGAGCTGGAGTGAATCGGAAGTGAAAGAGTTGTCATGCCTTGAACCAAAAATATGGAATAAATTCATAGAAATTCAAGTTCATTCTTGAGGGAAGAATCTTTCAAAGGGGTTGGGTTGATGAAAGATTAGTTATTATTATTAAATTAGGGCAAATATAATAAAACAACTTAACCTTTAGTTTTTAAACAAAACAATAGCCAAACCTTTCAAAACAATTTAATAGCCAAACAGTCAACTTTTCGTCTGGTTGACTGTTAGTTGACTCTGACGTGGCATAATTTTAAGTGAGCGGGATGATTTTGGCTGATGACGCAAGAAGGCAAACGTTTGGCCAGTGTCGCATGACTATTATAAAATAAACTCTGTTCATCAAAATTAATAAATTAAATTTAGATAAATAATAATAGGAGTAAATAAAATTATGAAATTTCTGAGGTCACTTCAAAACGCACGTCCTTCGCCTCCGCCACTCAACCCCCCTTTATGTCGATGAAGCCCTTTCCCAATCTGCCGATCAAGCCCTTTTCCCAAGATCCTCTCTCTCGTAAGATTAACTACCTCCATCATTAGCACACTCTTTCTCCTATTTTTTCATTTTATTGAAATAAAAAAATTAATAATAACATATTTCCAAATATGGTATATACTTTTTTCTCCGCAAGTAAAATATCTTTAAAACTGTGTACTCAATTTATAGCCTAAATTTATTAGAGATATGGCGGTTGAGGGATCTTCTGGCTCTATCACTGGCTTGAAATAGTTTTCAAGCAAACATTCCAAAAAAATATAAATTTTTGTGGTTGACGGCGAGGCAATTACCATTTAAATTAGGCCCACTAATGATGATTTACAATAGGGACAACAATTGAACCCGAACCCATGGGTACACGATTCGTGATTCAACCCAGTCAAAGAAGGTAAAGCCTATTGTTGATGGATTTTTTAGGTCGGTGATGGGTTTTACCCGCTTTTGAAATTGACAGGTCCGGTTGGGTTGTGATTTTTCCAAAATCCAACTCGCTTTCCATCGACCCACACCCATAAAGCAACATGATGTCATTTTATATCTAACCGAAATAATATGAATAATTTATAGATGTTATTTGTTTTTACAGCAATATAAACCTAATAATTTGGATAAGCAATGAATGTTAGTAGTGTTATAAAGATATATTTATAGGGAAAATGTCGATAGCATTACGATGTGGATGTTCGAAAAAATATGTATGGTTATGTTCATAAACCCATGGACAGTCATGAACCTGTGGGTGGACTGAATTGTATTTTTACTTCTAAAATCCAATAGGCGTTTAACCAGATTTTTTATATGAATAAACTTGTTGGATTGAACCCATTGGATTAGTTGGATTTTTACGTCTAAAACTCAATAAGTGTTTAACTGAGTTGAATTTGGGTTTAGAGAAACCCAATCCGACCAATTGCCATCCCAGAAAGGCGCTACCCGTTAGGCCGAGGAACGGTGATAGATGATCCTGCCATCCTTATGGTCGATCCATCTTCATTTTCTTATTATTCTTCTGCCGTTAATTAATTATAATGGGAAAATATAGCCTGTTAAAATTAATTGGAAAAATTTATATGTCTCCCATGCATGGTTGATGAGTTTACTGACGATAAAAAATGAATTATTGACTGATCTACTCTCATGATAGCCCTTATGTTTTGGAAATTGGAGATTAATACTTGAACTTGACTTGCTTCAAAAATCAAAAGGACCGCTATTATTTGAAGTTTTGGATTAATTTCTATTTTTTAATGTGTGAATAGAAAGCGGCTTAATTGCAAGTTTGGTCACTCGAATTGCTATAAAATTTCACGTTTGCCACTCAAATTAATTTATTCCATTTATAGTCACTCGAATTAGTTGAACAGTTCAAGTTCGGTCACTCTCCGTTAACCTCCGTTAACTTTGACTGACGTGGCGGTCAACTCTGACAGTTGACCGTTCAATGTGTGACGTGGCAAATAAAAAATCATTAAAAAATAAAAATGAAATTTTTAGAAATTACACATCATTATAAAGAAAAATTATAAAAAATGAAAAAAAGAAATTCTACACAGCGACCAAGTCCTCCACCTCATCTTCTACGTACCGATGCAGCAAATCGGCCGCCTCGCGCTCTCCCTCTGGACCTATCTCTGCTACAACCCTAATCCGGCCAATTACGTCTCTGATCTCGGATCTGACTCCGATTGAATCCATTTCCCAATCGGCCGAACCTGCTCCGCCGGCGATCGAATCCCTTCTTGTTGTTTTGTATATGTATCATACCGGGGACGATGATAGAAGGTCGTTCCCTCGCCGTCGACATTTCCAATTCCTGCATAAACCCTAATAAAGTCGCCAACTTTATTCCTTTAACGGGTCTTCATCTTCGGGCATCCATAGCGACTCGTTACAGAGCTCTTTCAAAATCAACGGTGTCTCTCTTCAAAAACACGCGGTCAACAAGCCCGCCGGCGTCAAACCCACGCCCACCTCGGCCGCTTCTCTTTTCCCAGTTGTGGAGCAGCCATTTGTTGTGGATCTTCTGGAGGTCGCTGTTCTCGGAGAGTTGGAGGATCGCCGTCGAGAGGTCGACGGCCAGTGGGGAGTCTCTCTGAAACGCCTGCCGTCCGTCGCCGGAAGAGGAGCAAATTAAGGACAGATTAAAACGTCACATTTTCAATTAAAAGGGGGATAAGAACTTACAATTGTGATAATTTCTTTTTTTCATTTTTTATATTTTTTTAATAATGATGTGTAATTTCTAAAAATTTAATTTTTAATTATTTTTTATTTGCCACGTCACACATTTAACGGTCAACTGTCAGAGTTGACCGCCACGTCAGTCAAAGTTAACGGAGGTTAACGGAGAGTGACCGAACTTGAACTGTTCAACTAATTCGAGTGACTATAAATAGAATAAATTAATTTGAGTGGCAAACATAAAATTTTATAGCAATTCGAGTGACCAAACTTGCAATTAAGCCATAGAAAGCAGGACCAAGGAATAAATTGAGGCCAAACCCAAGCCCATACGCACTGAAGCAGGGAACGGAATTAGGGAACGAATTGGAGGCTAAAAATGCTTGGTGCCTTGGTTGGAAAAGACATGCAAGACCTTCCTTGAGTTGCGCAGAAACCTCCAATTTTACAATTACATATGTTCAGCTGGGGAACGTCTATATACTATTGGGAGGATTTGGCCCAAATATTTTAATAAATTCAGTGAAAGCATGCACCAACTACATGACATGGAGTTTGAAAAGTAACAATTTTACCATTACACAACTTATCCAAAAATATGTCATTAAAATAAATTCATTTATATTTCAAACAAAAAATATATAATTTCAAAATGAATACCTAAATTAACTAAAAAATGCAATAAAGTTTATATTTATATGATGTCTTCTCTAAACGGTAACTTTGATATCAAACAATCTACTATCATTTGGTTCATGATTAGTTTCAGGATTCAGCAAAAATTTCAGCTATTAGATTCTCATTTTCATGTTTTTTTTCTCACAAAAACGGTAACTTTATTTCTATCAAATTATATTTTATGTTGCCACAATAACAAAAAAAAAAAAAAAAGTAAATCGTTAATGACTTTCTAACTTCCACACACATGGAGTAATGCTCTCCACGCATAATTGAAGGAGACAATGGACCATTGGAATTTGGAAGATAAAATAGTGAGAACAAGACAAAAGTTAAAAAAGAACAGAACAAATAAAAAAGAACACATTTTGCCTCCTTGCCTCCATGAGATGGGGTACATGTGTAGGCAATTCGGAAGACAATTCAATGTAGTTAAAGCATATTCGTTTACACGTGGGTGATCAATTCACTTCTCCCCAACACTCAAAAGCTTAATTACTAACTAAACTAAGAGGTTGGATTTGGGGGATACGATTAAAGCCGGTAATCAGAGGAAATGCCAAAAGTAAATGAATGATTCTTATTAAAGTAGATTTACACACGTTAGCATTCCATTCAATAAGTCATTAGTGTTGCGCGTGTGTTTCATTCCAAAAAAAAAAAAGTAGAAAGGATATTATTATATCTCTTACACATTATTTCAAATAAATTGAACTTTATATATCCAGTGGACTAGTTTCGAATACGAGAAACTATAACCAATGTAAATGAATTATCAAGACAAGAACTAATTCTCCATTTAAAATAGTATATCATAGTTTATTCGACCTTGTATACCATATCTTGAAAAATCCCAGAAAACTTGGCGTGGATGACTAACAAGTAACCACATTTCTTAGTAATTAACATGTCCTTTTGTATCTTTCAAATTTTGTCATCAGGATGGCCACGTAGACAAACATCTTTATCGCAGTGACCAAGCCGGTAACGAATGGAAATGATGGAGCGAATCAATCGATATAAACAACAAAACAACAGAATAGAAAAGGGATTTGAGGAGGCGAGGATGAACATGTAACGTTGATTGATAGAGAAACATATCTCAATCAAAGGGACAGGACGTCAACCAAAACCAACCCTACATGTGTCGGCCACACTATGTACAACCAAACAACATATTATTAAACTAATGCTCTTTGTTTCTTAGTTGAGCACAGGCAGGAAACATTATTATTTTTATTATTACTACTAATATTATTATTATAATAAAATTGTTTGCAAAAAATTACAGAGCAAGTGAGATATAATCTTGCGCCCCACTTACTTAGCTAAAACAAAGGTAAGTCTAGTAAAAAATGTATGTGGTCGTCCATCCCCAATATTCTGAGACACAGAGAATTTATAGATTCACTTGAGCAAAGTCACAACGTCCGTATCCAACTCTCTCAGCGCAGAAAAAGAGAAAGGCAGGAAACCATAACCACTCGTCATGCACAAGTTTATATACTTGGCACAATTTCGCTCAGCAGCATCAACAACAACTCGGCCAGACACAAAACCAGTCAATCCAGCCTGATTCAAAGGTAAATACCCAGTCAGATCGACACATACATCTCGCCCCTTGTCCCAGGAATAAAGCAGCAAATCCGCAGGACGAAGGGGTACGCCATGCCCATCAACCAAACCGATATCAAGACCTGTAAACTCATTAAAGGTGCATAGTGCATCATCAAAGATAGGTTCAGGAGATAAAAACACCAAAATACGTAGGAGATATGACTGCAACTCATCAGACTGCAAACGAGATGCCAAAAAAGCATAATGCATGACATCTTGAGCAACATAAACCCCAATCCCTCCTAAATGAAAAGGGAAGGTGGCAAGCCGCCACTACCAATAACCAAACCCGGGTCCAGAAGCAGTGACAATACGTTCTAAACTGGAACGAAGAGTTGGGCCAAAAGATAGTTGGGCCGACTCAAAACCCAGAAGGGAGTAAGTATGCAAAGCAAAGTAGAGTTTAGAAAGCTTGTCTGTCCTGGTAACTCTCTTTGCCACAAGCTCATAGCTAAAAGCAGGACAAAAACTTACAAGACCACTCAGAATGGTAATAGAAGAGGGGAAAGCACCTGGAATCCGACTCCTAGGATCCTCAATAAGCCAAAAAAACTCCGTCTTACCCACATTTAGGTGAAAGCCTAGTTGAGGGCATTCTTCCATAATCATGTCTAAGACCTTCCCCACAACTAAAGTGTCCCCCACAATGGTGTCATCATCCAAATACCAAACCTGCATACTCATATCAAAAGAGTCTATGATCTTGCACGCCAAAGGATGCAACACCAAAGCAAAAAGCAAAAGGCTCAAACTTCTCATTATTATTATTAGTATTATTATTACCATTAATAGTATTAATTATTATAGTAAAAATAATCAAAGGTTTTGATTCATCGAAATACATATCCAACATATATATTCGATGTACCATACGAGGGTTTAGAGAATTAGATCATATGATATACTCATTAAGAGTTACAGTATAGTATAGTATAGTATAGTATAGTATAGTATATCTTGTCCCTAAATCATTTTAGTTTAACGTCCAAATATAATTTTCCTATTAATATTTAAGTAGTATGAGATACTGATATATATACTCGTATGATAGAAGTCACCCATTATATACATATGTTAAATCTCGTTGCACTTTTATTTTATCTTAATTTTTTGGGTTATATACTTATATGTATAATATGCTCCTCTGTGATGTATTTTTATCAAACATTGTCCCTCTACTATAAATCACGTCAAATATGCCCTTGCATTATCGAGCAATTCTCAAACCTATCCCCCAGTTATCTTTTCTATCCTAATGTCGTTCAAACTGGTCCAACCACGGTCTACTCGGTAAAACGAGAGGAAAAATAAATTTTTACCCCTTTTGTTTTTAACCTCCTTCGTCCCAATTCAAAGCTGTAAAAAAAGGTTTCTTGCCCCCTCTCCCCCCATATGCGACTCTGGTGATGCCTATAGTGGCTCGTCTTCATCAAGCTTGTGCAGGGAAAAAGATGAAACTGAATCTTCCCAAGTTAGAGACAAGTTCAATTTCAAATTTTTCAGAAGGAGAAGTGTGATATGGAGAATTGGACATCAATTAAGGTAACAACGGATTATCTTAACGACTCTAATGGCGCCAACACACTGCCAAACCATTTGTCTAATCAATGATTGATATTCAAGGGAAGATTGGGAAGCGGAAAGAACGGAATCTCATAAAAAGAAGGTTAGGTGGTCGGAGAGATTGTATATATAGGAGTCATCTTTTGGATTCGGAAGGGAAAGGGAAATTTTGGAACCGGTTTGGGGGAGGGTATAGAGTAGTAGTCGTCGTTGATTCGACGAAATCAATGACGATTGCATAGGAATTGATCCGCCAAGGGGAAATGAAGTGGTCGATAATCATGGGAGGGAGGGGAGGATTGAGATTTTTGTTTCACAGGGCTTGGGGAGAGGAAAATACAATAAGGTCCAGAGCATATGGCAGTAGTCGATGCAATGACGAGACAAGCTTGCTTCAGTAGCAAGTACAACCCGAAAAGGGAAAAATGAAGAAAAACATAAGAACAGGTACTAAAGGGTAAATGTCTATCTCATCTTCCCTTTCCCTGAAACGATGCCGCTCCAGGTCCGGGTTTGTTTCTGTTGACTTAGTGATGCGCCGTCGTCGGGAGATTGGTTTCCTCCAGTTGGCGAAGCGGTGTCGTTGCAGTGTTGGGGCGAAACGCCGTCGTTGGGAAGGCGGGATTGAGAAGAATTCAAATGTCCTGAATTCTTCTCTGATTCCCTTTCCTTGAAACGATTTCGCTCTCGGTCCGGGTTTGTTTCTGTTGACTTAGTGATACGCCGTCTTCGGGAGATTGGTTTCCTCCAGTTGGCGAAGCGGTGTCGTTGCAGTGTTGGGGCGAAACGCCGTCTTTGGGAAGGCGGGATTGAGAAGAATTCAAATGTCCTGAATTCTTCTCTGATAGTTCTCACACTTTCATGCCTCACTATTTCGTTATTTGACCTCCGTCACACCAAACTTTATCATTCCTACATTCAAAATAAGAAGAGATCATGCCCTAGTATTCCCAAAAAGTGGCCCTTTTCAATTTATAAGCTAAGATCCACGCAACCAAAAGAGAGCCTTGTTGAAGCAAGATCGACTAAATCTATCAAGCCATAGATTCCACATTCCATACTTCTATGTTCCTAAACCCAACATTTCTTCCTTTATTGGAAATGTAATACGATCTCAAGCAACGAAGCTTTCTTCCTGCCACCAGAACCGAGTTTCCACAAAAAAATCTTTGACATTTTTTCACTCGCCCTAATGACAGCCTTAGAGAGAATAATTGTGATCTAAAATGGAGTGATGATGTACAACAAAGACACAATCATCTCTACCTTCCCTGCATAATTGAGAGCATTAGACTTCCAACTTTGAACTCTAACAGTAAGCTTATCCATTATGTAACTAGGATTGTAGCCCTTTTTGCTTCCATGATG